GCTGGTTAAGCTTCTGGTATGTGAAAGTTTTGCTGATTTTCGTCAATAGTGAAGAAATATAAGAGAAATTGGGAAGTTGTTTTTTTTTTGTGTTTTTTAAAATCATTTTTAAACTGCAGATAAATCTTTGATAAAAATATCTGCTTCAGACTGTCTGGGTGTAACAGTCCACATAAACAGTCTTTGTGCGAACTACATGTTCCTTCAAACAACTTGATACTGCAGCAGGTTAGTGAGGAAAATAAGATCATGTTATGTCATGTATTTTTTTGTTTTGCTCTTAATCCTGTTCACTGAGCCTGTGAGAGCTTGCAAATGTCTGTGCTGTTCTTACTGTCCTGTGTTTTCAATGTGAATTGTGAGATGCCCTTTCCGGCTACTGCAGAACAAATCTACCTATGGGTACCAATAAAGTTACTTGAACCATGAACTGATCTGACAATGAAATCTAATATTGCAATCTTTATTTCTCAGGTTAATTATCTCTAACAGTCTGGATTTTATTTAAGAGAATATAGGTCATGTAAAGCTTCCACACACTCTTCTCTATTTTATGTCGGTACATGATTTAAAAAAAAAAAAAGTTAAAATGTGTTAATATTTTCAGGTAAAAGCAGACTTTAAATGAAGAAGTCTCAAAACATTTTGGACTAAAGCCACTTTATATGTACAAAGACCGAATGATAGTTTAATTATATTTTTTGGCTGCATTTCTGTGTATAAACAGTGTCTTTACAACCACAACTTTACATTGGATCAACATTTGTTTGTGTTCATTTTGTGTCTCTTCGTATTTGGTTCTGTTTCTGATGCTGTGTTGCTTTCTCTTTCTTTTTTTGTGTCTTAGTAGTTGTTTGTCTCTCTTTGTTGGCATTTTGTGGCTCTTGGTATGTGTTTTAAGTGATTTTGTTCCTCTTTTCTGTAGTTTTGTTTCTGTTTTAACTAGGGCCCGAACGATTTATCGGCTGGCCAGTTAAATCGGCCGATTATAGCCCTTTTCAAAATACTCATAATCGAGTTTTACTGAGTAATCGCCGATATATATACCTAATTTCTTATAAAACAGTAAATGCTGTTAAGTGTCACAGTCGCTTTCGTACATTCATTTTGTACAATTTGATTTTGTAAAAAGACAAATATTCTCCAAGGCAAAAGCGTGTAAAAACACTTTAGCAACACCACGAAAAGTTCCGTTTTTGCTGCTGCTTGTTGTAAACAGGTCAAACTTGGCTCACGGAGGTGACCGAGAGTTAAGATAGCTTACGAACGTCCAGCGGTAAGATGACTCACTCTGCCGCAAATTCGGAAACCAAAACATCGCAGAGCGCTCACTCTGACGGTTTTTTTCAGAGAACTACAGAAAACAGCTTCTTAAACTTTTTAAACCAACTTTTTAACTAACTTATTCAACTTACATTTTTATTCAGTTGTTCTGATCAACTTTAAAGACAGCACAGTCTTTGAGAATACAGAATATCAGAGAGCTGCATAAATAATGTTTTGCCAGTAGCTTCTCTCATCATGCTGCTTATATACAGCATACACCTATGGCCTAAACCTAAAGATAAATTCATCAGTATAACTGGTAGCTATATTCATGCTCCATAGAAAGAAAAATGCACAATACAAATTTAAAATAAAACACCCCACATTACAGACATATGTGTTCGGAAAAGTTTTTTTGTTTTGTTTTGTTGTTTTTTTAACTGATGCATATTATGTTTAATGCTTTGTTGCATGTTTTTGCACTTGAAATTCCTCTCTGTTGTAAAGTTTTAAAAAATACTAAAGGACAAAGTATTGTAAAACAGTAAAATATTCTGCCTGTGATTCATATCTTTGTTGTTGTAAGCTTTAAGGGACCAAAAAAGAAGCTATTTTGTTCTTTATATATTTTTTAAATTGACTGGCCAATTAATCGGTTATCAATGTTTTGGGGTTTTTTTGCCAAATATTGGAATCTGCATTGGCCTCAAAAAATCCATATTGATCGTGCCCTAGTTCTGAGTTGCTTTCTCTTTTTTTTGTGTGTCTTTGTAGTTGCTTGTCTGTCTTTGTTGCCATTTTGTGACTCCTGGTATTTGTTTTGAGTGATTTTGTGTTTCTTTGCTGATAGTTTTGTGTTTGATATGTTGTCTTTTCGCTTTAAATTTTCTGCTTGCACAGTGAAGGGTGGGCTTTTTCCTTACCAGAGTAACACCAGGTTTGACTTCTTGGCAGCTTCTTGCTTTGTTAAAATGACAACATGAGAAATCAAACTAATACCTAATTATGCGTTTAACAAAGGAAATCATGCATGTATAAGAAGAGTCTGAACCTTAAAACCCACCAGCAGGTTTGAAAGGCATTTTATCATTTAAAAAATTGTCACAATGACACTATTTATCAGTCAGAAACTGTAAAAACAGAATGACTTTATCAGATTTTTAACTGTCTGTTGGCTTGCTGTGATTCCATTGGGAAAAATAAGGAAAAATAGGACAAAAATCATGATATTTCATCAAAATGATTTCATCAAAACAGTCTCCCAAAATGGCACCATTTATTAGCCAGATTGTAAAAACAGAAAGAATCGTTGGATTTTCAACTTTGTGACAGTGAATGTATCATGTGTGATATGCAGTTTAATCTGGAAAAATAGCAAAAATAGGCGTAATATGGGAAAATTTCATTAGAATCTCTTTATGTTAGGTCGCTCATCTAAAAACATCACCAAAAATTAACAGTTTGCTTTAACCAGATTCTGTAAAAACAAACAAACAGATAATTCTGTGCTTCTTGTCCCAGTTGAGACGTCTTGAATGATCCAGCTGTGATCAACAGTCAGTTGACAAAAATTCTGAGAGTTTTCAGCTGAACCACAGGCTGTGTTTCTCATAGATAAGACAGGAGACGAGTATGGAAACAAAAATGTAAGTAGTGAAATTAATGTAGTATGTAGAGCTGCCATATTTTTCTCCAGCACTGGTAGCATCTGTGAGCAATTGAAAAATGGTATACATGCTGATTCTAGTTTTTCAACTTTTGTATATTGAATAAATCAAAAAGGATACACTTTTTTGTGATTTATGACTTTATAATTGTGTCATACAGTCATACATATGGTTGTTCTGTTGCAGGTGCAGGACTTTATACTGCAGTGAAAAAATGAACCACAGTGAGGAAAAATGTGACGGGAGCATAAAACACAGAGTAACTGTTTGGAGTTTAGAGGGTTAAAGACATGAAGTTGGTGAAAATTCACTAAAATGAAGCTGCATACAAACACATGAAAATATCTTAATGTTGTGTAGATCTACTTTAAAAGACTGATCCTGACATTTCTCTTGAGAGTTTACTGATGTTTGTTTCAGAGCTTTGCTGCTTTGTGTTTAACGCTGTGGTGTCGCAGTTTCACTTCAGATCTGTTTTCTGCACAGCCTCTTACCTGACATGAGCTCAGGCTGTGTTACTTCCTCTGTTTTAAATTTAGGCCAAACTTTCAGAGACTTCATCACTTCCCCGTTTTTAACAAGAAGGCGCTGCTTCCAGTTCAGCTTGCAGCCATCAGTCTGTAGCAACACAGCGCTGTTTTAGGCTTTCATTCGTTTGCAGCACAAATTCAAACCCCTGACATCCAATAAACTCAACTTTATTTTCACATACTCGACACTATAACCAATCTTCGTGTAAAAATACAGTAATCACAGAATTTACCGTATTTGTTTACAGTGTAATTACTGTAATTTTTATTTTTTTTTAAAATTGCATTCTAATATAGAATGGGCTGAAAGGTGGCGCAGTTGGTAGCACTGTTGCCTTGCAGCAAGAAGGTCGCCGGTTTGCATCCCGGTGACAGCACCGGGATCTTTATGCGTATAGTTTGCATGTTCTCCCCGTGCAGTGTGGGTTCTCTCCACGTTCTCCGGCTTCCTCCCACAAGTCCAAAAACATGTTGAGGTTAATTGGTGATTCTAAATTGTCCATAGGTGTGAATGTGAGTGTGCTTGGTTGTCTGTCTCTAAGTGTGGCCCTGCGATAGACTGGTGACCTGTCCACGGTGTCCCCTGCCTTCGCCCTAAGTCGGCTGGGATAGGCTCCAGCCCCCCCACGACCCTCGTGAGGATTAAGCGGTGTGTAGATAATGGATGGATGGATGGATAATATAGAATGTGAATTTACAGGGAAATACCTGCTGCTGTGGACACAAGTTACTCTATAATGGATTACAGTCCCCTACAGTAGAATATGAGATTTACTGTTTCATACTGTAACTACACTTTCCAATAATATATTATGTTTATGTAGAGTTTCCACTGAAATCAGCATTAGCTGTAGCTATAGTGGCCTGTAAATTCCGTTTCCTCCTTGTAAAATGCATACCATTACTCTAAACTGCAAACATGCCATGAATAACACCACTTAACATTTAGGGAACCTTCAGGGAATGTTTCCTACAGCAGATTCAGAAACTGTGAAAACAGAAATAGTCATCTGTGGAGTGCAGTCAGATCAGAAAACTTCAACCAAACCTAAACTTAGAGTCTTGATTTTTGAATCAGAATCAATTTATTCTATGTGTCTCATTTGAATTTCACCCTCAATGAAATGTTTGCGCCATCCAAATTCTGTAAAAAACAAAAAAAGTCACCAAAAAGTTATGGTGACTCAGCGGCAACCAACAGAAACATGATAAAAATGAACTGAGGGCAGTGTTTACACAGTGGCAAGAAAAGTATAGAAACAAATTTAAAGCAGAAGTCATAGAACGTCTATACTGTAGAGTTACCTTTTTTTTTTTTTTTTAATTTAGTATTGGTACCACCTGTGGGCGCTTAAATAAATGTTGTACATTTCAGGCTTTTGAAATTTTTTAAAGATATATTTATTTTCTGTGTAAACACAATGGTTATTCGGTTTCCATAGAGGTGCAGGACTTTATATTGCAGTAAAAAATGAGCCACATTGAGGAAAAATGTCTGGAGCGAAATAAAAACACCCAGTTTGAACTGTGTTGACAGCATGGGGAACCTGATCAAGGTGTTAACCCGAGACATCGACAACAACGGAGGAAACTTCTTCCTGGACTTTGAGAGTAAGATGCAAAAACAGACACAATCTCTGTATATAAATACACGTGCTGGTTCCAACCTTTGCTCTTGCGTTTTTTTTAGATGCTCAGCCCTCGCAGTCGGAGACGGCGGTGTGGGAGAAGGTGAACCATGTGCTGACGGAGGCTCGGGTCATCCTGGATGACCTGCAGGCGTACAAAGGAGCTGGACTGGAGATACGAGAGGTAGTAGGGTGGAATATACACAGAGGTGGATTCATTCATCACACTCCAGCTCATGATTACAAGATAGTGCACAACAGATCATTGTTATTACAATTATTTTCTTCATAAAACTTATCTGCAGGATTGTTATAACTCAGGTCCCCAGCTGTGAGAAGTTGGTCTGTATTCCAGAGGTTTTCACAGTATGAGGGAGGTGCAAAGGTACTCTGTCAGGTGAAAGAGACACAAACGAGGTGTGTCAGAAAAGTTCCAGGACTGGTGTCACAAAAGATATATTTCAAATCCAAACTACAAGTTTTTCCCCTTTGAAGTAATCTCCCTGGAGCCAAATGCACTTTCCCAGCCTTCTCTGCCACACCGCCATGCACTCCTGGAAGGTTTCTTCCAGGGTCCTCTGCAGCTCCGTCATCACAGCCATCTTGATGTCATCCACGTCTTCAAAACGGGTCCCCTCGATGACACCCATGAGCTTAGGGAAGAGGAAAAAATCCACGGCGATGTTCTTCTCAGCCAGGAACTGTCGGATGCTCAGGGCATTGTGAGCAGGCGTATTGTCATGGTGTAGCAGCCATGACTTGTCCTGCCACAACTCTCGCCTCTTTTTGTGCACTGAACGAAGCAAACACTGCAGAATCTCTTTGTAGACGTACTGGTTGATCGTCTGAAGAGGAAAACTTATAGTATGTAGTTTGAAATATATCTTTTGTGACACCAGTCCTGGAAGTTTTCTGACACACCTTCTATTGCAACGTTAACATGAGATTCCGATTTACCAGTAATGGGAATAAATATGAAACTTAATTTACAGCACTGAACGACCAATTCTCCACATTTTAAAGATGTAAAGTAGATTAGACAGTTTAGATAAATGATTCATCCTGACTGAAACTCACTTTCAAATTTGTAAAGCTTTATTTTATTTGTAAAAATGCAAACAATTGAGATGTCCCTGCTTTTTTGCTAATAACGGCTGAAACGGTGAGTAGTTTAGTAAGATGAAAAAGAAGAAAAACTGAGTCTGGCTGTGTGGAATCACAGACTGTTTATAAAAGATGGATGGGTCTGAAAAGTGAAGCCTGAAACCTGCATTCTCTCTAGCAGTCAGCATGGGGCGACTCCAGGTGAAGAGAAGGCCTTGAGAAAATGAGCCTACTTCGCATTTGATTTGTTGCCTCAATAAACATTTTCCTGAATAATAATCATAAACTCAATATATAGTTTCAAGTCTTCTTCAAGACAGCATGATGTTCATTTTGTAAATTATGCTTCCCTTTAGAGGAAAATAGATTGTCAGAGTATGTTTTAGGGTGAAATGTCCTCAAGTTAGATCCAATAGTTCATTACTTACGGTTTCACAGAACCTAGATGCAGGACCAAGGCTTCAAAATGGTAGTCTACAAACAGATAAATTACATCACGGTTTTTACATCCAGTCTATGAGTATAATCTGTAAATTTGAAATTATGGGATGAAGTTCATGGAAAGATATTTCTTTCCCTCCTCTTCAGGCTTTCAATGTGAAACGGCTTCATACACTGATCAGTTAAGTGAGTCGAACAGTTTTTTCTTTGTGTTTGTGTTTACAGGCGATCCAGAATCCTGGTGTACCGGTTGTGCAGGAGGAGGCCTGGTCGGCTGTGGTCCCTCTGGTCGCGAAACTCAAAACCTTCTACGAGTTCTCCCAGAAGCTCGGTAGGACCAATATCTACCTACCTGCCTCCCTCGCTCAAAAATCTGCTGTGATGGGGAGTTATACATGCAGAAAAGTCCAGTGTTTCCTTGCAGTTCCATATATGAACTCCCTTGTAGACGCTGAGAGAAATGCTTATAGACGTAGCAATACTGCAATAAGAAAATACTCCATTACAAGTGAAAACACTCATCCATCCATTAGCTATACACTACTTAATCCTCACTAGGGTCGCAGGGGGCTGGAGTCTATCCCAGCTGGCTCGGGGTGAAGGCAGGGGACACCCTGGACAGGTCACCAGTCTGTAAGTGCAGGTCACCATTTATCACAGGACTGCACTTAGAGACAGACAACCAAGCACACTCACATTCACACCTACAGACAATTTAGAATCACCAATTAACCTCAACATGTTTTTGTACTGTGGGAGGAAGCTGGAGAACCCAGAGAGAACCCACGCTGCACAGGGAGAACATGCAAACTCCATGCTGAAAGACCGTGGGTGTCCTCACCAGGACGTGAACTGGCGACCTTCTTGCTGCAAGGTGATGGGGCACCTTGCAGCCCCAGTGAAAACATTTAAAATTTTATGATACAATACACACCTATCAGCTATGACATTAAACCGTAGTGGTTAATACAAATACAAAGGGGTTGATGGAGGGCCAGTCAGTGAACTTGAGGACACTTGAGTTTGATTCTCATTTCTGACGTTTTATTTTTTCACTGAAGTCTTGTTTTGACTTTTGGTCATTGTTTTTCACTATGTTTTTTCTTTGCGTTTTCAGTCAGTGTTTAAGCTTAGGCTCCAAAGGTACTGGGTTAGGTTTAGACGAGGATTATGGTTTAAATACACCCTGTTGTTTACCACATGCTACAAAACTCAATTTTGTCAGTTTCTTCACCACACAAGAGATTTTACACATCAGAAAATTATCAGGCTTATTTTCTGTTGATCAGCAATCCTACAAGAAGGCAGAGGATCCCTGCTGGTCCAAATGTGTGGAAATAACATAAGGTGACAAGGTAGCAATTGGGTGACATGTCAAATTAGCATCCACATGAAAGTAGGACCAAAGGCTTCCCAATACAACAGTGTTCAGAACATCAGGTTCGCCTTCTTTTCATTCTGCTGCCATCTCTTCCCTGATAAACAGTGCATCCACCTGAAGGAACAGAAAACATAATTCATCAGACCAAGATACCCTCTTCTGTTGATCCATGGTCCAGTTGTGATATTCATGTGTTTATTGTAGGAGCTTTCAGTGGTGGACAGGAGTCAGCATTGACACTGTCTACAGCTGCACAGCTCCAAACACAACAAATTGTGATACTCTCTGTGTTAAGCATTAGGAATTTCAGCAGTTTGTGCATCAGCAGCTTTTTGAACCACACAAGCCAGCCTTGAGTCCCCACGACCATCACTGAGTCTTGGGTGTCCATGACCCTGTCTTCGGTTCACCAGTTGTTTTTGTATTTCTCTTCTGGTGGTTTCTCATCACTGCATACCAGAGGGCTGTGCTACGCAGCGAGATTAGTGGTTTATTGAGGTATGTTAAGCTTAAAGTCAGAGTTTTCAGCATCACAACAGTGGTTTTCTTTTTACCTGGCTAGATCTCCATGGTAATTGATGCTGTGGACCTGGTCTCCCTTTAACCAAATCGGTTGCTGACTATTGTTTATGAGCGATACAGAGTCTCAGCTGAGGGAATGTGTTTTATCTGTCAACATGCTGAGTTGTACGTTACTAAAATCACTGAATGAAGTTGTGTAGTTACACTATCACACTTAAATACTGCATTGCCAAGGGAACCTACATGTATTTAGTTGGCGATGCAGAAATCGCATTTAATGTTTTTATGTTTGGCTCTGATTTGCTGTCAAGTCCATTTACACTGCTGGTACTGCAGGTGATAGAACACAGATTAGAAAATAGATTATTCTACTCGTATTTATTACAGAGAATATTCAATCAGTAACATCAATTTCACTTTGATTTGGCCAAAAATTAAAGTGGTATCCTGCATTATGGTACAGTGTCAGACCTAAATGCACTTCATTGTCATGTTTAAATATATGAAGTTCAAAACTTAACTTTAATGTGCAGCTGTCAGTTGGAAATAAGCACCTGCATCGGTAAAATATTATATATTAACACATTTAAGAATTTTCTACCAGCATTACTGTCTTGCACCATTTGCAGTGGTGACGCTTTTTACCATCAGATTTTTTGTTTAATCTTTTTCATTGTTCTCCATTAAAAAAAAAAATGTTGATTGAAGCAGCTGCACATGGTTTCATTTAGTGCAAAAAAAGAGTCATGTGACTTGTTAAATGCCTGTTTTTATGTGAACGTGCAGTCTGAAGCAGAAAGCCTGAGTTTATAAAGAAAGCTGAGAAACACCTCTGTAATTTCTGACTGGAACTTTCATTTTTGTTTAGCCGGCTTACACAACGAAAGTCTGGATATGTCAAACTTGCTTCATAGTATAGCCCTCAGGTGCTGTTTTGGGGTGTTCCTGACCCAGTCGTCTGTCATCACAGTTTGTAAAAGTCTCTTCGGTCTGCACACTGCATGCTTTTCTTACTTCAGCTTCAGGAATTGACTGTTTATCTGATACCTAATATGTTCCACCCACTGATTGGAGCCGTTGTATCAAATAATTCATCACTTTCATCACATTGTAAAGTGCTTTGGATAAAATATAGGTGCAGACCATTTACCAAACCATTTACCACTTCACCTGTCAGTGGTTTTAAAGTTTTGGTTGATCGGTGTACCGTAGACTTCACTGGTTTAATCCATCCATCCATCCATCCATCCATCCATTATCTATACACCGCTTAATCCTCATTAGGGTCGCGGGGAGGCTGGAGCCTATCCCAGCTGACCTAGGGCGAAGGCAGGTTACACTCCGGACAGGTCGCCAGTCCATCGCAGGGCCACAGTCAGAGACAGACAACCAAGCACTCCCACATTCACACCCACGGACAATCTTGAATCACCAATTAACCTCAGCATGTTTTTGGGAGGAAGCTGGAGAACCCGGAGAGAACATGCAAACTCCACGCAGAAAGATCCTGGTGCCCCCACCGGGACGCGAACCGAGGCAGCAGTGCTACCAACTGTGCCACCTTGCAGCCCTGGTTTAATCCAGTGGTTTCTAAACATCAGGTTCAGGCCACTCCAAAGCCTCAGTTTTTGCACAAATGAATTTACTTTTATTTACTTTTTTTTTTTTTTTTTAACTTTTCACTCATGCTTTTGTGAAATATGCAAAATAGTTTAGATAAATCTGAGATGTCTGACAACAGAGAGGAAATAATGTTGATAACACAGACTGAGACACACCTTCATGCTGTCAGAGGTTACCCGCAAAATCTCAGAAAACACCAGTTTAACCTCTACCAATGTATTTTTTAAAGTGAGCAAAAGGTTAAAGTTCTAATCTGAAACAATTTGGATACATATTTACACCTTTGGCTATAAAAACCAACCATGAGCCAACAAACCCTCGTAGACCATAAACTGTACAAATTTAGTCAAACTTAAAACCTTGTTAGTCATGTGCAGAGTTAAAAGTGGTGCCCTGAATGTGTCCAAAGTTTAAAATGACAGATCATCGATGTGTTTCTTATCTTACAGTCTGATATTTGATATAATTTAAAAATTGACTGACTGAATGATTACTATTATTGTTGTATAAAATATATGTTATATTGATTAAAAAAAAAAAAAAAAAAGTGAGCTTTTACAAGATTGAATTTCCCTTCTGGGATAAATAAAGTGTTTTTCATTTAATTTCATTCATTCATTCATTCATTCATTCATTCATTCATTCATTCATTCATTCATTTAAAAAAGCGTCCCTGTGTGCCATCAGAGTCCAGCCTGCAGTGTCTTCTGGAAGTCCTCACCAGCTCCAGCTCGACTCCAACTCAGCACCTGGAGCAGAAACAGGCTCTGGCTCGTCAGTTCGCCCACATCCTTCATTTCACGCTGCGCTTCGATGAACTTAAGGTCCAGCTGAGCCCCTTCTCACTTCTTCTTCATCTCCAGCACTGTCCTCACCTGCTTCCCAACTGCTCAGCACCGCCCGTTTCATTGTCTTTGTCTTCATGTTTTTTGTTTCAGATGACAAACCCCGCCATCCAGAACGACTTCAGCTACTACCGCCGGACCATCAGCCGCATGCGAATCAACAACCTGTCTGTAAGACATGAACACACACTCAATGAATTCATGCCACACACACAAAAATGCAGAAATAGGTCAAATTGGTAAATGTGATTGGAATAAAGATAAAAAAAAAAACTGCCTAACAGATTGGGCCTTTTTACAGATGCAGTGAAATATGTAGAACTACATAAAAGGATTAAGGTCAATGTAAAAAATATATTCAGACTTTTTTCTTCTAGAATTGTGAAATTAAAAGCAGGATTCAAAGTCAGAATTTAAAATGTTAGAATTCTGAGAAAAACTCATTCTGAATTCCTTCACCTGTGTGTTTCCTCTTATTAGCAATCATATACAAAAACTTCAGAAAGACTGCATTGAAAATTCAGGTCCCAAAGAGGAAACTGCAACACAAAGAATTCACCTGTAATCACTGACATACAGTTTAGAAAATCTGTGATCACTGAACTGAGTCCACCTGTGATTTTTGAACCAGCCTGACTGCTTTAACATGGTTCAAAAATGAGCTGTGAACAGCAGAACTTTTCTCAACTTTGCACAAAACTGCAAGATGAAACTTTGATAAAGAACATGAAAAAAAGCTTGATTCATGTTAGAGAACATTCTTTGGGAAGATGAAGATAAAGTTGTTGTTCTCAGATGGAGTCCGTCATGTTTGGTGTGAACCTGAGCAGGACTAACACAGTGGATGCATAGTCCTGACAGTGAAGCATGGAGGTGGGAGAGTGATGGTATGGAGCTGCATGAGTGGAAAAGGTGTTGATGACATTTATCGATGCACCATGAATGTGTGAGGATAAACCAGAATACTGGCTGATAAGATGACTCCCAGTCTGCAGAAGCTGGAACAAAAAAAATATTCCAGCATGAGAACCGACTGAAGAACAAAATCATACAAGCGTTTTTAAAGAAAACAACCACAACCCCTCTAGCAAAGAGCAGCTGAAGAAAAAAAACATCTCTGCAGGCATTTGGTATCCTCTACAAGAGTTTGTCATTAGAATAAAGGTGGACGTACAAAATATTGGAAAAATGAAAGATTTAAATCTCAGCAATGAAAGGTAGACTGACTCCTGAGTTCCCACTGTGGGTACAGAATTTTTCATCTTATAAATCTTAGCTGTTAGTTTTTAACTTAACAGAAGACCAAATTTTCAAGTTGTCAGAAGCAAATGTTCAGTATATAAAGAAGTAATATGATATATATACACATGATTGATCGAGATTTCGTTTTTCAGTCCGACACAGGAAATGAGGTCAACAATGAGCTGGCCAATCGGATGTCTCTGTTTTATGCCAGTGGAACACCGATGCTGAAGACATTAAGCGACGCCACGTCAAAGTTCGTCTCAGATGTGAGTCCTTTCACAGTTTCACAGTTACATGTTTTGATGCATAATTTTTAAGTTCTTCTGTGTGTCAGAAACTTTTTAGATCATTTGCTTTCGAAAAAATGCTCTGTTCCAGTTAATAGTCCAGCTCTGCAAGTGTTACTTAGAGTTGAAATTGTCAGGAAAATGTGTTAAAAGTCACAAAAAGAAAGGAACATAGTGCAGAAAGTGAGTGTTGTACCTTTACACTATTAAATTACTATGCTCATGAGTTTATGTGGTTAAAACGTATTTTTTTATTAATCAGTTGATTGTTTGAAAATGAACTATTAACTACATCTTAAAATAATTGTAGTGAAGCAAAAGTGCTGTGTTTCCATCTAACATGTAGTAGAGTAGAAAGAGAAAGAAAATACTCAAGTCAAGTACAAGAGCTTTCTTTAGTACAGTGCCTGAGTAAATGTACTTACTTTCTACAGGCAGAAACAGAATTTGTTAATTCACTTGTTAATTTTGAGCTTTAGGCCTGTTTTACTTTTATGACATGTCTTCCGTCAAATGGAAAGACAACATCAAAATACAAAGGTGTTCATTTTACAACACTTTAATTGGATATTAATACAAAATAGCTCATATTCAATGAGAAAATTCTTCATTTTGTCTGGAAACATAACATTTCGTAACATTTGTAATGAAGAAGCCTCAAGAAGATAATTGTCTTGATGTAAGTAATCAACTGGGAAGTTTAACAGTGATATCTGTTGGTTAAAATAGTGTTTTCCTATTTTAAAAAAAAAAAAAAAAATGCATGTAATTTTACTAAACATATGTTTAAAGGTTGAATTTTCCCCCAAACACTCCACTTCAGCAGCTCTCTCATCCACCAAACTCTCACTCTATCTTTGAAGGTTTTACGGTTGGCTTTGCTCATATGTCCTTCACAGGACAATTTATACATCTAAGAACATGGAGAAAATAGCTTTTTTTTTGGCTCTTGACAGTGTTTTCTAATATGTGACCCGTCTGCATGAAAACATTTCACCTGGGGCTATATCCAAGATACAGCCCAGATTACGTTAACACATGATAAAATATTGATTTTGGGTTTATGACTTAGATCGGTCCATTGAGTTGTTTTCTACATGTCAGTAACATATAATATTATTATTGCATTCAAGTACCGTCCGGCACAATGCGACTGATTTCATGCAGATGGGTTACATATACAGATTTCTGTTTGATACATTTTTGCAAATTAGGACACATTTAATTAGATAATGGCTCATTAGCATATGTAAGCATCAAATTCCACGATGTTCATATTAACTCAAACAAGCAGGAAACATAGCTGTTCTCATTTAAAGTTCATGTAATGGTTATTTGAAATTATATATTTTAGGTGTAATGAGCATTTTTGGAAGAACATTCTACTGTTATTTCATGAACCACCAGCAGAAGGCAGCATCAGAACATTTTGCAGTTAACAAAGCAGGTTCAGATCTTCTAGGGTTGAACAAACTTACACTCAGTGGATGGCCGAATGTATTTGGTTTTTCTGTTTTTCTAATATGAATAATCATTGTTGATACATTATTTCTGTTTGCTTGTTGTGTTTTTGAATTAAACTTCATTGTCGTCGTCCAGAATCCAGACTTGCCGATTGAAAACACGACAGACTGTCTGAGCACGATGGCCAGTGTGTGTAAAGTGATGCTGGAGACGCCGTGAGTTCCTGAACGCATCATCATCATCATCCCCACATCCTTCCTTGGACATGAAACTGCATGATGACTGTGTGCTTTTATGTGTTTGTGCAGTGAGTATCGCAGTCGATTCACCAGTGAAGAGACGGTGTTATTCTGCCTCCGTGTGATGGTAGGCGTCATCATCCTGTATGACCATGTTCACCCAGCCGGAGCTTTCGTCAAGACATCCAACATAGACGTACGTTGTTTACAAGACACAAACACGTGACCATTCTGTTTAATGAGGTGATGACAGAAAGTAGATTTAACTGTCTGAACTCCAACAAGTTTCAGGTTGTTTTTTCCTTGCTCACGTCACATTTATATTCACTGTGGACTGCAATACAAAGTCCTGCACCTCTATGGAAACAGAACAAACACAAAAAAGGAGAAAACTCAGAAACTTCTGTTTACCGTTAGAATGGCAGAAATGAAAAAAAAGAAAAGAAAAACATAACAGTTTCTTTGATTATTTAATTTAAAAGAATTTTGGAAAAATCAACCAACATGCACAACATTTCAGTCAAAAGATGTAAAAATAGTGGCTCTACATGCTATAGATAATTTACTACAGTTGTGACTTGACATTCTGACCCTTACCAATCCGAAAACCTTACTATCCGACAGGTCTTTAGGAAAAACAAACGGAACCCATAAAATCTAGCCTTAACATACCGACAGTCTTGGATTCTGACTCCGACATGACATTTTATGTCACAAATAAAGATAACGGCGTATTATCTGACTTAACAATCCGACAGATTTGCTTACCTTTGATGTCAACCGATGAGCCTGTGCACAAACGCACCAGTCAATTAGGCATGAAATCAGCAATGCGTAGTGTTCTAACAATACACTAGTTATTACAACAACTACAAACAAGGAATTTCAACAAGTTACCCTTCAAGCATCAAGCCCTACTTGTAGCTCGACCTCCGTCTTGACAATCTGACAGCCTTGCTATCCAACATAAAAGAAGGTATTACATTTAGTCAGATTATCAAATCACGACTATATTCTTACAACCTCTGTGTTTTTCATCAGTAGAGAGATGTTTCACCATGCTGAATGTATCTTCAACAACTTGCGCCTCTATTCACTGTTTTTGAGCCATGCTGCATTCATTTTATTGATCCAGTATGTTTTATTTCCCTCTGCTCTGTGGAAACACTGCCTGCAGTTCACTTGAAATCTCAGAATTTTTGACTGCTGGCTGTGTCAGCTATGTCTTCTTAATTGAACTAAGGAGCTTGTAAGATTGTAGTGGGTGGAAAATAAGATATACTTATTTCCACACTAAAGCAAGTGATTGCATTAATTACAATTATTAAAACCAACCTTTGAATTATTCGTCCAGCGATATAATCTCAGAGTCAGCATAATAATTCTAATAAATTGTTTACTCTTGGTGCTCAGTCAAGAGTGTTTTATAAAGTTAAGGGAATTAACTTAGAGCTTAGGTAACTAAAGATCAGATACGTAAAGTGACTGGATGTAAGCTATAGAAAACACCGGAAACTACTGTATACACACACAACATTTATTACTAACTAAAACAAACAAGCAAATAACAACAACAAACATAAAATATAAAATACAAACAATGATGAAAATGCTGGTTGAGAGTATGAATGTGGAAAACCAAATGTGGAACAGAGTGATGGCTTGGAGACTTAAAAGTCTTTTCACCCGAAGCAGCAGATAATCTGTTAAATTTGGAATATTGGTCGGAAGGCCAATTGTAATCATAAAACACCCGTTTAGAGACAGAAGCTTGATGCTTGCAGTTTTCTTGGCGGGTGCAGCAGCCTCTGGAGTTGGGAGACGAAACCTTCAGCTTGAGTTGGATCAGGGTGTGGCAGTTGAAGTTGCTACATTGGACCAAAGTGGGAGATTCTATGGCCTTCAGAAAGTCCCAGAAAATCCACCGAAAATCCACCGAAAATCCGCATTCTTTCGGGTGAAATGCCTTTTAATAGTAAAACTACTGACCAATCACAGTGAGCTCCCCTCCCAGAGGGGCTGTTAGATATGACAACCCAGTATCACAGGGAGGTCGTGATGTGGTCATGAGGTGGTCAGAGTTTTGCTCTGAAAGTAACAATGTTCCTTCAGAACTATATGTACTTTCAATTATACAAAGTTAAGCCTACTGAAAATAAATCTATCATATCTAGCGGTTCACAAAGAATCCAAACGTGATACATCTACCTTGTACGGTTACAAAGATAATGCAGTTTTGGGATATGTGATTATATAACAAGCTGATAAATTAAAGAAGGACTTATCCAGCTGTAATTAAGCTTTGGAGTATTTATCAGGACATGATATACCATAACATTTAACACCTAAACTTAACATAAGATAATATGGCACATTCTCTTAGTACTGTGTCTTTTTGGTCATCCATAAGTTCAGTTGTTAAGTTCAGTTGTTGCATGCCACAGGAAATTAGGGTCAGCAGAGCAATACGTTAAGCCCAGGGCACTTCATTGCACCTGGCCATCTGGGCCATTTGTTAGGGTCTGAGTGGTCTTCCCCCAAAAGTTTCTTTGTGTTAGATCCTTTGAAGCTCAGATAGGTGTGATAAGGGAATTCCTAAGGGAGCTCTGCTTCCTCACTCCTCCAAGTCTGCAGAGCTGATTTACATGACCCTGTGGCCTGCAGGATAGTTCTGTTTTTTTTATGGCATGTGACTTGGGTGCTGGAAAGTTCAAATGAAGTTTTTTTTAAATCCTTTTGGGCATCTGTGTCTGTCCATATCCTACATTCCCCCACTTTGTTTGGCAACGGCGATGTCCTCAGTGGTCGTTGGCAAACAACAGGGAAAAAAAGTGAAGATCACAGAAGCACACAAGCACAGCACAAGACTTCCAACAACTAGAACAGGTGATGTTAACACAGAGAAATCAGGATGTGCGAGCCATCCACAGTTAGTATGTGTTAGGAAAGTGTTGTATGCTTTGTATTCAGTCTAGTTTGCGTTATCTAACTGGAATTAAGATTAATTTATTATACCCTGCCTCCACGCTTCTACGAGGAGTGTTCGGTATAATTTCAATCGTAAGGTTGGTGCTTGACACACCCCCACTTAGTTAGTCTGCAGAAATTCAATTATTGAAATTTACTGAGGGACAAGTCTTGTCCTGGTGTCTTGTCGTACCATTGAGTTATTGCTATGTCATAGCAGTTTAACTGACGACTATGGTTTTGAGTATATGGTGTCATACCTAAAGTTAAGAACCAGATCTTGCCCGATGTCTGTTCTATCTTACGAGATGTTCCCTATCTAACTTCGCCTGTCTGTCATCAGCGATTTCCCGGGCACGCGTTAGCCACCCCAGGTCCACGCCAAAAATAACAAACTAAAATTAAAAAAAAACAAAATAGCAAACAGGCAGTGAGGCGTGCTCACTACCGCCACCTATCTAATCAGGCAAGTCTGTTCGTGTGGTTGAAGTTGCGTGATGGGTTCAACCTGTTAATTTTAGGGTTTTGAGTGTAATGATTTAGGTTCCAAGCCGGGATTTGCTGGTTGGATTTGACAACACACCAAGCAGCCTTTGACATAATCTGTTACGTCTTGTCGCACACCTGGCTAGTATGCTACTTGGCTGAGGGTGTCGTATGTGACTTGGGTGTTATGGTGGCCAGCACATGGTACGTCGTGGGCAAGCATCAGCATCACCCCCCCTGTGGCACTGAGGAACCACGGGTGTGGTCATTAGGGGCATAGAGCAGCATGTCGTCCCGCAGACGTAACTTGTGCTGGTGTCGTTGGAAGTTTTGAAGGTTAGGTAGAGACATCTTTAAAATCGAGGGATCTGTGCGTTGGATTGCAACGACATCAGAGCTCGAGAGTTGAGGGGACAGGTAGTCCGAGGCAGGCGGTGCGGCGTGGACGGCCTGGCTGCGGGTGACCACCTGAACAGACGGGGTGGGCTGGGAGGGTTGAAATTCCCATGGTTTCACTCTGACCTGCTGTGCGCTGCCTCCGCGCGCTCCTCTGCGCTCAGCTGTACTCCGTCGTAACAACACACAGTGGCGGGCCTTCACAGTACTGGACTAGCCAGCCGTCTGGGGTCGCGAGGGGAAGACGGGTACGCTGGGAGGCACGGAGGCAGCCCTGTTTGGTGGAAATGCTCTCAGAGTCGGTCCGACCTGCTATGTGTGGCAACGGTGCGCTCCGCTGCGCTCCGTCGGACAATAACACAATGGCGGGCCGTGACGGGACCTGTCTAGCAGGCCGCCTGTGGTGGTGCGGGGCATGCAGGCACACCGGGAGGCAAGGAGGCAGTCGGGCTGCCTGGAAATGCTCTCAGTTACACTCCAACATGCTGCGCACAGCTACGGTGCGCTCCGCTGTGCTCCGTTAGATCACAAATCAACGGCGGGCCCGTGAAAGGACCTGACCAGCCGGCCGCCTGGTCCGCGCGTGGTATGCAGAGACGCGTGGAGGCACGGAGGCAGTCGGGCTGCGTGGAAATGCTGTCAGATTCACTCCGACCTGCTGCGCGCTTCATCGGCGCGCTCTGCTGCGCTACGTTAGATAACAAATCAACAGCGGGCCCCTGACAGTACCTGACCAGACGGACGCCTGGGGCCACGCGGAGCAGACGCACTTTGGCTAGTGCGTCTGTTGTAGTCTCTGTTTATTTTGGACTTGTGCAATCCTTTCTTCGGGTCTGGTTTGAAGGTGCATCGGAATGCAGCATGATCCTGGAGCTGTTTTCCTAGGTTGTGGCGTGGTTCTGGTGTTTCTGCATCACCTTGAAGTGCCATGACCTGGAGGTTGGTGCTCATCACACGTGATTGTGCTCCTTCAACTTCTGCCTGAGTCAGAGGTAAGGGTTCTCGCACTTGTGCCCAGATTTTCAATTGCTGAAAATCAATTAGGGGTTCGAAACGGTTTAGCAGATCTTTGCCGATAAGGAAAGGGAATGAGTCAAGTGGTGATATGTACACCGGGTGAACGAGGCTCATGGGACCAATGGCTAGCTGTATTAGGACAATGTGTTCTATCCGTGTACCCACTGGTGAATAGGCTTGAATGTCCAAGGAGCATTTGTTGATCTGCAGAGTCTTGTTCACTTTTGCTGTTTGTTTGTTTCACTGTTTGTACTTGCTTGAGCAGATTGTGTGAGATTACTGTGACATCTGCACCAGTGTCGATTACGGCCTCGTGCTGTACCAAGTCTTCCAGAATGGTTGACAGAATCTTTTTGCCACCCCCCTTTCCTTGAGGTTGCCAAGGAGTTGAGGTACAGGTACATGGACTGGAACTTGAAGCGTGTGATCATCCATGGGGCCGCTGTGTGTGCCTTGGTGGACAACCAGGACTGCACGGTCAGGTATTTCAAGTTCCTTTAGTGGTTGGTTTGGTTCTCTAGCTGGTTCTTTGGCATCCAAAGAGGGACTTGTTTTGCAGGAGGTGTATGGCTTCTGGTCTTCAGTGTCACAGGTGCCGATTTGAATGGCTGTAGTACGCCTGGGCTGCACTTTCAGTGTTGAGGATCGAGTGTCCCGCCAGGGTCCCTCCTTGGTTGGGTTTTTGGTTAGTTTTAGGGGCTTTTTCTTGGAGAATTCTTTTGGTTTATTTGGGGAATTCTGTACGAAAAAGTCTTTCAAAATCTTGAACAGTTCTTTTGCCATTGAGCAGCTTCGGTCTTTCTGTTGTTTGGCTGAGTCATGGCCAGTCTCTTGGATTTTGTCAAGCAAGTAATTTGTTCTTCTCCTGCTTGGAGGGCTTGAGGGGCCTCTGTCCGTCCAACGAGTGTTCGGTTGGGGACTTGGTTTTGGCTGGCCAGAGTAGTGTGGTTTTCTTCCCCACTCATTTCCGTCCTGAAACTGTCTTTGGACTGTTCTTTGTTCTCTGTAGTAGCCACTGGCAGGTTTAGGTCTCCATCTCTCATTTCCATGTCTGGTTGGCATGGGTGGATGGCCTCCTTCCAAGGCTAAATCTGAGTTAGTAGTGGTCACACTAAGAATGGTTGCTGGCTTAGTCGTCTTTTCAGCTGTCTTCTGCTGACTGTAAGCCTTGTTCGCTAGGTCACGTAGCTGGTGGATTGTCATAGTGAGGGGGTCAGCTACCACACCTAGGTAATGGCTTATCGACAGGTGCAGGTTTTTCAGGAAAAGCCTCTTGAAGTTCATATCTTCTTCCATATTAGGTTCGTTCCAGGGCCCGAAGTAGGAGTTATGAAGGCGGTTGCAGTATGCCTGAGGCGTCTCTTGTCTGCCTTGCTTGACATCGATTGCAACGGTGATTCCTTGTTCTGATTCCGGGTCCGAAAATTCCTTAATTAGGGCTTCATGCAGCAGTTGAGGATCAGCTTTGACTCTTGTCATTTGGCGATCCAAAAAGCTGCGGACTTCAAGACCTGAAGTTATCCTAATTAGGTAAACCTTATCTTGGGGTGTTATTTGGCCTAACATTCCAAGGTGGAAGTCAATATCTTGTAAGTAGGCATGAATGTCGTTGCCCCCTGCTGGACTGGGGTTGAAGGTATTTATATTCCGCGCCATTTTGTCAAGGTCTCTGAAAGACACTTGGCTTTGTTGCGGTTGAGGTGACATCCGGAAGCTTTCTTTGTGGTCGTCTTCCATAGGGCTGCTCCTCTTGAGATTCCCCAGCAGGCTGTCTTGATACCGACTTTGCGGCCAGTCCTGCTCATGGGCGTCCATTTTTGTGTCAGACATTTCCCTGTGGCTTTTGCCAAATTGTTAAATATTCCAAACACACTACTGTGCATTGTGTAACTTTCAAAATTACATTTATATTAGCAATTTTTTGTTACTCAACATTCATCATTAAATGGTTTGCCACAACAAGAGAAGCCATCTTAAACAGAAAGTGTAACTTCGATACCAATGAACAAACACACAAATTGTATTGTCTTTAAGATTGCTTCCCTTTTTGTTGAAGGTCGAGTAACAAAACTTTGCTGACATTTTTATATGCATTTGTCTCTCTCCAATTCAACTGCCTCATGAAATAGATGTGCAAAAAGTTTCTTTGTCTTTAGAATATAAAATTAGATATGCATAATACAGTCATTTTGGTGAAACATCACAATTTTAAGCTTGCACATGCACATGACTGTTGACCACAGAAAATCAAAATACTAATTTTAAAAAAAAAAATAATATACATATATATATATATATATATATAGCAGGTTAACTTTCACTTTCTCTAACTAACTTTAGCCTCAAGAGCTAGTGTCTTTATCACTGCTTGGCAACAGCATCCCTGCTCCTGGTGGTAGCTAATAATCATAACCATCCAGATTTGACTTCCTATGTATCAAACATGTTGGAAATTCTTGGAGCAGCCCAGATGAGCAGCAACAGAGGCTTCAAACTGGATCTGTAAACTCCTCATGTCACTAAATATTCTGGGTTCTGGGTGTACATGGGTTCAGAGGAACATTCTGGACCAGATTTCTCTGATAGGCAGGAGGTGAAACGGTGGTAACTCAGTCTGAAACTCCTGCAGTCTGAGGCCGGCATTGTGGGTTTAATTACTGACCAGAGAATGACTTTACACTGTGTTTTGTTTTTGTCATTTTCAGATGAAAGGCTGCATCAGGGTGCTGAAGGAGCAGCCGCCCAGCAGCGTGGAGGGTTTACTCAACACTCTCAGGTCTGTAAATTGGCCCACAAACATTGAAGTGTCGTTTATCTCTTTCATGCATTAATTATTAAACATTTCTTAGTAGTTCCCAACAATATTTAAAACATGTCCAATTGGATTTTGTTCAAAGTCTATTATGTTGAGCGAGATACACAACGGTATATACAGCTAAAATACACTGTGAGTGAATGGGCTGAAAATTTGAACAATTTAACAAAAATCACCATAACTTCACCAGCTGATTAGTTTTTGTATTGCAAGTTTAGGTTTGTATATGCAAAATGTTAAATTTGCACTAATGCACTTAACTCCGTGAGTAGACATTTGAACATTGCATGAAATCAGCTTCAACATTCTTGTTTCATTTTGTTGATATATTAAAGGTTTTTGCAGGAGATTTTGGATTTCTCTTTGTATCGCTCCATAAATCTGAAAATACTGTCCACAGCAAGTTCTGCCAGATTTTCAGTGTGTTTTTTTGCTTTGTTTTGTTTTGGGGGTTTTTTTGTACATGATCTGCTCAGTTTCAGTTTCATTGTTTGAAGTTGGCTTTTTAGTGTTTTGGTGGCGTAAATGCTCACAACAGTGCCAATCCACTGCAGGAGCATAAAACAAGCTTCACAAAAGGGAACAAGCTTTTCAAAATAAACTTCCCTTCCTCTCCTGCAGGTACACGACCAAACATCTGAACGATGAGACTACCTCCAAGCAGATCAAAAACATGCTGCAGGCAAATTAACTCGTCACTTCTTGAGTAGAACTGAAACTGGAACGATGGATGCAGGGGGACAGTGTTTTGGTCCAAATTTCAAAAGAACTACTGAACAAATCTTTAGCTAATATTTCCTCGTGATTGTTTTATTTTTCACTCTCATTTCAAAAAAATCTGTTCTTTGTTGTTGTTAAAAAAAAAGAAGGAAAAAAAAGAAAGTAGCCAAGAAGAGGTGGTCTAAAAATCAGCTCAAGTTGCCTTCATGTCATGTCAGATTTACAAGGCTTGTTTTTTCTGCCATCTGGTGGACAGTAACAGTAGCACAACAGACTTTTACCTCAGTGCTTTTGTTTAGCTTGTAGTTGCACATTTTCAGAAAACACTGGTATCGTTCTGCTAGCACCCTGTAATGGCTCCACAGTTCAGGAGAAACAAGCTACCTGTGAACAGCTCCACGTTTTCACAACTTTGACCAGGTTCAACCTGATGGAGACTGTTTGGATTAACTTATTCAGTGTTTACTGAGTGTTTACTGGGAATCAGCAGCATTATGCTTTCTGCATCTGCAAGTATGTGAGGGCCTACGCCATGTGAATTTCATCATTTCCTCACGACCACAAGAGGCTACTTGGACTCCTCTGCACATGTAAACAGGCAGACCCAAAACTGTCTGTACGCGACAAGTGCAGTAGTCTGACTGTGCAGAATACATAGATATGACCTAATGTGTCTGCAGCAGACTTGGGTTAGCAAAGTAGTCAGCAGCAAGTCAGCAAGGGAGCATATGGCCAAAAAGTAGAGTTTAGTTTGTGTATCACAGCTTAACAACCAGCATGTCAGAACGCTTAAAAACAGCAGCTGTCTTGTCTGTGTTTTATTCCTCAGTCGTTGTTGTGCTGGAATCACCGGTTGATATATTTTCAGAAATTGTATGAATATGTGCAGCTGCTCTGCTCCCAGACTGTTCTGATCCTTTCAGTAGAAAATCACCTGGTGACAGTGATTTTACATGCTGTACTTTTTATGTTGATTGAGAATCCTTTAGGCTAACAAGACTGAAGCTAGAGACACTTGATGCTCTGTGGAACATTTAGCCTGCAGATCTTTTGTTTTGACCAATCAATTGGTTGGAGAGTCGGTACGATTTCAGTGCACCAAGATTTTCTTTGGTTCGCTGCAGCTCTACTACAAGCTGAAAATGGCAGGTTGATTGAGGATTTGTACTGTGCATTAAGGCAGGCTTCACACTTTTCTGCTCCCTGTATGCAAATTTTCACCAAAACAATTCCTCCATCGTTGTTTTGCATCCTGGGCATAACACTGTTTGAGTCAATTGTGATTGGTGTAAAGCAAATACTTGAGAATCCACAGCATTTTTCTCCCCTGTAGCAGAATGTGGTCTGGCTATGCGAGACGAACACCTTTGTTTTGACAGAAAATGACAAACAAGTCACCAAGTCATCAGGACAAAACAACAACCTGAACCAAAAACTGTTTACAAGGATATGTTAACTGCCATCAACAAGATGATTATCAGGACTGCAGCATCAGTATTTAGTTTTAAACAAAGCTGGATCACCATGTGAGACCAAAACAATATCTGCAGCTGAGGTTGACTGATTAAAAGGAAGCACCCTGACCGACAGCTTGACAGTTGAACATGTTGGCTGATCTGTACTTCTGATGTGACGTGAATGTAGCTTTGACAGTTTTCGGGCAGCACAGATTTGTTAGTGCCCATATATTTAAAGCGCTTTGGCAATTCAACAGTCTTACAAATCTTCATTTTAACCCAGTTTCCATCACATGAAGCCCAGGAATTCTTCCATTGGAGGAAACTTGGTTTGATCTAATTCCTCAGCTACAGTTTCTAACTCAGAGAAAAGCCTCTGTGGCCAAAGTTGTACTTTTCAATTGACCGCTGGAGTTCACTATTTTACAGGATAAACAAGTTTAGCTAGAATCCTACAGGAAAACTGGTTTTGCCACTTTTTTTTTAACTACATCGATCACTTCTACAAGCTTTCATACAACACACATTTAAGGCACAAATAAGGTTAGCTACTCATAGGACAGTTCATGGATCGATTTTAAAGGCTCTGAAAACCTGTTTTCTCAACACGCGACTCCAATGTGCAACTAAAACTCGTGCTCCTGATATTTAGTAGGTTAGTCTGTGTGTAAGTTTTAGGTAAATTTGACATGAGAATGCCTTGTTTCACTGTCTTCAAACTAACTTTTGGTCACACAGCTGTCTGAGCTGCAGTAACTGAGTGGAGACGAGAAGCTTCTCTGTGCGACCGGTAGTTTCTACTGATGCACATAAGACGTTTAGAGTACATCTGTAAACTGCAGCTTCAGAATACACAGAGAAGAAAAGGGTTAAATGGTTCCGTAGCCAGTTTTCTGGATTGAACTGAAACAGCTCTTGACGAACGTTTGGTAAAGACGTTTCAAACTGTATCCTCACAATTTTTTTTAAAGCCCATTATATTAAAGCTAAAAGTGAACCGAGCTGCCTGGAAGGTAGGAAATCCTTCTGAGACCTGATCAGGAACATGATATGGGAATCAGCCAATGAAAGAAGCACTGTAATGAGGAAGATATGGTACAGATGTGAGGAAAACCTTGGACTGATAAAAGACTGCTTTTTTTTTTTTTTTTTTTTAATGTTTGAACACAATGTGGTAAGTGGGACTGTTGACTGGAAACTTTTAATTTTGCTCTGTATGTTAACACTGCAGTGTCAGGGATTGTATGGCATTAATTGATTTAAAAGATGTCTTTGTCAGCCAAATAAAGTTTTATACATTTTTAAGAAAAATCTGTCTCTTTAATTCAGTTTTATTGGAAGAGCACCAATTCACAACATATGTCACCTCATAGCACTTTACAAATTTTAAACTGAGAGACATTAAAAACAGTTCTAATGTCTTTGGTTGCACAGCACAGTTGTGATTCACCTGTCAAAGTGTGACTAAGTGTGTTTCAACCCATCAATTTGTCCAAATGAAACTCTTAATAACCAAGTTCAATTACAAAACATTGTATTTCAGGTAGAATAAACATTAAAAACTATACCTTATTAGCTACAGAGTACTATTTGGGTGGAATAGGCCTTTCCAACTACAAAAAGTGTTATGAGTGTAATCATCTTTTAAACTTTAAGTACGTGGACCTCAGGTAGTACTTTATCTGGTATACTCCTTGAATAAACCATTGAAATTCTAAGTATTTTGGGTGTAATCAGCCTTTAAAAGTGTAATATTAACTGTAAAATTTTGGAGGGAATTCGAGTGTGCTAATTCAGCTTTAGCTGATTAATGTGCTGCTATAATTTTACATATGGTATAATTTATAGAGATGCTTTTCATTTAGAAAAGCCAGAAGGTTTCATGAACCCTACATCTTTGAGCTTTTACTCTGAAAGTGTAGTCCAGTATTAATCATCCAATCAACAGTGAGTCACTGGTTGCTGTAGTGAGTTGAGCAGGCAGACTCAGGATTAGATCCTCAAACAAGCTCAAAAACTATATGTCATATTGAAAAAAATTTAAAAAAAAAAAAAAAAAAAAGCAGGTTAGAGAGACTCAACATTTCTGATTTTCAAATTAATTTGGTCAAAATTGAGTGATGGATGTCAAAGAAAAATTCAAGACATTAAGTGAAACTTAAAGTGCGACTGCGTGAAAATTGTTAAAGATATCAAAACACGCATTTAGAGGAATAACATTTCAAGTCTTGTGAACTGTTTAAACTTTAAATGAAGATTCTGTTGTAAAATCTGGCAGAGCTACATGGTTCCAAAGATGGCTCGGTCCAGCAGTTGTTCATTCATTTCAATGGGGATTTTCAGGTTAGTCTTTTGTGAATTTCATAAAACCATATGACGAACCGTTAACAAAAGACAGAGCACAACATTCCCATTTGAGCCACATGTTTTGATAAATCATTTTTATGGGCTTGGCTTGGTGGTTTGCACCGTCGTCTCGCAGCTAGAAGATTCCTGGGATCTTTCTGTGTGAAGTTTGCATGTTCTCTCTGTGCAGCGTGGGCTCTCTCCGGGTTCTCCGGCTTCCTTCCACACAGTCCAAAAACATGCTGAGGTTAATTGGTGACTCTAAATTGTCTGTAGGTGTGAATGTGAGTGTGCTTGGTTGTCTGTCTGTAAGTGTAGCCCTGCGACAGACTGGCGACCTGTCCAGGGTTGTCCCCTGCCTTCACCCTAAGTCAGCTGGGATAGACTCCAGCCCCCCTGTGACCCTAGTGAGGATTAAGCGCTGTATAGATAATGGATTTTTGTGGGTTTTCTTTAAACTGTGGCACAAGATAGGGGTCTGAAAATGGCATTGAAAGAATCTATAATAAGACCAAGCCTTAGCAATAACAATAAGTGAGCTTCACTGCAAATGTAGTGAACCACACTTAGTTATTGACTAAGTAAAATACGTAGTCATGCACTTTAGCAATCATCTATTGCGATAGGTGGTGCTGTCTCCACAGGAAGGGCTTCAGACTTGTGGTCAGCCTCCAGCTCTGCAGAGACATACTATTGATTGCAGCCTGCAGGGGGCACTGAGCTCCACCAGAGACACTGCAGCTCTGTGGCCTCTGAATGTTTTCTTATTTTTACAGTGAGTGTGTGAAGCTTAGATGTTGAAAACTATGTGGGTTTGTGTGGATTCAGGTCTATTTCAGGTGAGTATCACCTGAAATCTTCTTATAGTTGCCCATCGATGGGAAATTATATGGAACATCAGCACAGAAAAAAAGAAAAAACAGAAACCCATATTTGACCTTGGATGAAAGGTCAAGGTCATAAACCTTAGGTGCTTAGCCGTAGGCGTAAATTACAGCAAAACACTTCCCCTCCATGCAAAATATCTGTGATACATGATAGACTAACCTCTTGTGCTTCAAACAAAGCAAAAACAACACAAAATCAATGACCTATGCCCAGTCTCTCAAAAGATGTACTGCAGGCATGGACCCCTACAGTGCAAGCACATTAGGAATATCCCCGGATTTTCCAAGTGTTTTTCCCTGTGTTAAATGAACGATTGCCTCCAAAGCTGGTTCCCTGTGAGATCTACGGGTGCTTCATGTCCTCTTTCAAATTTGTGCAATTATTTTTACATTATATATTGTATAAATTTATTGTAAAAATATATAAATTATTTTTGTATTTTTCACCATTTTGCCATGATGATGGCAGTGTGCATAGACGCAGCGGCCACTTCAGGAGACAACGAAAGTGAACGTTTTGAGTGTCTTGTCTATCCCAGACGTTCATTCCGCAAAACTTGCGGCTGGGAGACTTTGCTGGGCATCAGGACAGTGAACAGCGCTGGATTGCAGCAATCGACTAACACGGAGTCCGATCAGAGACTATGCCGGCAGTTACCCAAGAGAGAAGAAACCGCACGTTACAAACATAAACAAAGGAGGAGGAAGGGGCCGGGACCCATGCTAGGCTAAAGGCTAACCCCTCCAGATCAGCAGTACTGTCGCTCCTGCTCTCCTATGTCCGCTCCCTTGACAACAAGCTAGACGAGCTGAGAGAAACCCGCAGAGAGTGGAAAGACTGCTGTGTGTTTGCTTTAACAGAAACGTGGGTCGATGACAACATCCCAAATAGACTTACAGCTGGAGGAGATGCAGACAGACAGACAGACAGCTAGGTCTGGGTAGAATCTGCGGCTTCACCATCATCACACCATCGTGTGTGTCTTTGTGTCACTGAAGACCTACCAGGACCTGAAGAGGTTCACCATGTTCAACAAATGGTGGCGCACATGGACGCTGCAACCCCTTTAGGAGGCAGCGACAGCAAACATGTAGTGTCTTATCCCAGACGTGCATTCCACAAAACTTGCTGGTTGAATAATCCTGAAGAAACGCTCTCTCATTTTGCCTGTACTACTATGTATGTACAGCAAAATGACAATAAACCGGATTTGATTTGATTTGATATATAATTTTAAGGCAAAATCAAGGCAAGTTCATCCTCAAGTAGGTGCACAGTAAAACACAGAATCAGGTAAACATGTGTAGCACATATAGAAATGCTAACAGGTTAAGAGAGTGGTTTTGGACTAGTATGTCAGAAGAAGTAGGAAACAGGTCTGGGAGGTGTTGGTACAGTAACCACACATAAACAGATTGTTGCTTGTGATGGCTGGTGCCTTATTATTAATTGCAAAAGTGAAACAAGTATGTACAGTATATACACTGGAGAGAAAATCTATCAACTTAACCCTTGCAAAAGTTTTACCAAAAGGGAAGTGCACTTGCTCTCAATAAACCCTTGGTTTCACATTTACACAACTCATGCTCACAGCCAGGGGCAGGACTTCAGGGGGGGCTGGAGGGGCGGCACACCACCTGACAGGTGGTCTGCTGTAATGGACATGGGACCATAACATGGCTCAGAGTAACGGGAGTAAGCAGGCTCTCCCATGAGTTACACCTAGCGTAGTCCAGAGTACGAGCATAGACTACCTAAAACTAAGTGTCTTTACACAGGGATTATATTGGCTGCCCCAGTCAGGACAGAGTCATGGTTGCTAAAAATTTTACAAGACCGACTGACTTTAGTGATGTAGTAGGTATAAAATATTGAATAAAATATTGTACTGCATGAATTGCTTTATGTTAGCTCTCACATTAAACTTTATTATGCACAAATTTACAAGTTGATTGCCGATATTGTCTCCAAGTGTATTCTGGGTAAAACTCGTCACCAACCGTGCACAAACGTCATCATCAGTCACTTGTCAACAGATTGAGAACCAGGTCGAGCATTTTTACGGACTAATGCTGTGTTCACACCAGACGCGAATTCATCGCGCTATTCGCGCGTTACGCGCGTATTTGGACGCGTGTGGGCACTGAGTTTACTCGCTTCGTTTGCGCGTATAAATCGCGTCAATCGCGCGTCAAGATTTGTGTCTGAATTCAAGTCATTGGCGCGACTGACGCGATCCAGACGCCGGATCCATGGGATCCCCCGCACACAGCTTGGGGAATTCCCCCACCTTCTCCAGTAAGCTGATCTCAGTGCTCAGCAGACGGGCTGTCCCTCTCCTCCAGTTCACACACAAGAATGCTACTCTTCAACTTAGCAAGCTAGCTATCGCAATGCTAGCGGGATAAACCTCCGCTGGCTCCTCGTCGCTGTGGTCAGCGTACTCCTGCTGGCGGCCGCTCGTCCGTGTTGTTGTATGTGGCATGGAAAAAACATCGCTCTATCTCAGCCAGCGCCTGTAGTTTGTGTCCTGGAGGGATATCCTGGTACCGATCCTCTCCAACAGGTAATCAAACTGGGTCCGGATCAGCCGAAAACAGCGCTGGAAGCGGCCGTCATCCAGGCGCAGCTCTTGTAGAAGGTGGGGGAATTCCCCGAGCTGTGTGCGTCTCTGGAGGATCCCATGGATCCAGCGTCTGGATCGCGTCAGTCGTGCCAATGACTTGAATTCAGACACAAATCTTGACGCGCGATTGACGTGATTTATACGCGCAAATGAAGAGTGGCACTTCATATAAGCATAAAAGTGGAGCGGCAAAGCAAAAAGAAAGGGAACAGAGAGAGCAAGGAAAAGCCAAATTACAAAAACTGGACACATATTTTGTTCATCGTCCTGGACATGAACCAGACTTTTTTGTTGGCAGCGATTCAGGCCCGCCAAAACTGCCAGCACAGTGAGGGAGCCAGGTTAATTCCAGGTAGCAATTCTAACAATTACTATACACAATGTGTGAGTTAGTTGTAAACTGTTGGTGGTTGTAAATTGTAGGAGCCCAGCCGCTTAGCTTATAAAACAA